GAGCACTCTAAATGGGTCAAAGTGGGATTTTTCAAAATTTGCCCCTACCCAAAAGTTCGACCCAAATTGGGGGACATCATATTCCCTAGAATATGATTTTCACAGAGCAATGGGCGATTTTTTTGCCTCCCCACAAATCGACCCGGCCTAATGTATATATATATATATACATTTTTTAAGTCGGTTTTTTTGCTAAAAATTACTTGTTTTATTTATTTATGTAGTAAAAATCAAAATTATACCCACAAAATCCATCTTCTTCCACCAATAGTCTCCATTTTGGATCCCAGTCAAAATGTAAACAAATCACAACATTCGCCAACTCCAGCTGCAGAAATGAACGCCGCGACAGCGCAGCCGTCTTCACCCGTGCCACTTGTGGTCGCGAACAATCCGAAAATCACCATCAAAGAGATCACCAAACCGATTGAGATACGTATTACCGATGACAACAAAGCCATACCGATTCATCAAATGCTCAAGCCACAAGCTACGACTACAACCAGCACAACGACAACAACAACAACCACTACTGAGCAATCGCCGGTAACAACATCAACATCAACAGCAGCAGCAGCAGCAACAGTTGACAGTGGCAGCTCAACAACAACAACAACAACGGCAAGTACAAGCGCTTTATCGCCAACTACACCAACAACAAGAGCTGATTTGGAGCAAACACACAGTGGTGAAAATACATCCATCCCCACCACGGCAAGTTCAAGTGGAAACACAGGCTATAAGAAAGCTACCAGCGTAGACAACAACCCGCCAACGGTACTTCCAGTCACTGGGGGCATTAATAACGGTGAGAGCTTAAAGCTCAGCGCTTCAGTCGCTTACCCAAGCACAGAGCGCAACACAGTGACAGTTATTATACCAACACAAAGTGTGGCGAGCGCAGAAAATAGTAGCAACGATAGTGGTGAAATATCCGCGGAGGTGGCGCCACTTGCAGAGGATGGCAGCGCGATACCCGCGTTTGGCGCGCAGGAACTGCAACACGACGCATCGTCAAATGATCCAACGAAAGTGAATATCAAGCGCGAAAATTTGGCCACAACGGAACGAGAAACGGCAGCGTCGACTGCTGGTGAAGAATTCAGTTCACCCGAGCTGATAGATGGCAATGGCAGTGGACAAAGCGGCAGCCTGCAACTGCAAGGTACCTTCGATTTGGAACCCGAAACATCGGGCAGCGATAACATTTATCACATCATTCTAACCACATCTGGGCCAAGAGTGAATGATTCAAGTGCTGGATTCAAGACAACTGAAGGTAAGTCCTGGGGGATACTATCATCTGCGATTTTAAATAAATAAAAAAGGCATAAGCGCATTATCTGCTAACTTAGCGTTTGGCTTTGATTCTAGGAAATGCTCCATGCCAGCAGCTACATATTTCACTAACTTCTTTCCCCGTTTTCTTATTTCCACAGATGCTCCGCACGGCTCAAGCGTTGACATACAAGCCGCAGCTTCCAATCAACAACACACCGTTGTAGTGCCACCACCACAACTTTCAAACACAACCGACTCTCCTTTCGATTCCGATAGTACAACGCGACAAGCAACGGCTTCCCCAACCGCTCCCAGCTCGAGTCCTGCCTCCGCCTACCTAGCTTTAAGCACAGACGCGCCCGAGTTGTCTTCTACCTCTACAGAGCCGGTCAAACCGCTACACTCCACCGAAAGCGGCCATCATATGGAAGAAGAAGAGGCGGCCATACCAATAGAAGCTAATCCTGCGTATCCTTCGCTGCCCGAAGATGACTTTAGTTTGCGCGATGTCACTTTTCCGCTAAATGAGGCCGATGATGCTGTCGAGACAGATGTTAAGGGTGAACAGCGTAGCATTGGTGGCGGCGCCTTTGAGGTAGTAAAGGTGCGGAAGCCAGCGGAGGAAGGTAGCGGCAGTGGCTTTGAACTAATTGAAGGCTCTTCGACTACGGAATACCAGGGCTTAAGCAGCGACAGTACCAGCGAGAGCGTATCGAAGCTGCCAACAAAAGTGGCACTGCTAATGAATTCTGCTGAAGACTTGTCTAGTGAAACCGCCATCTCGAACAGCAGCGACTTTCAATTAGATCGCTTCTCGCGCCTCGCCAGCAACGATACAAAAGAATCGGCAGAAACAGAGGAGTTGGGTAGTGGAGAGTCGGCAGAAGCCGCCGAACAGAAGCTGGAGAAACGACGCGAACCGACTACACCACGACCAAAATCACGCGCCGCCGCGGACGTGGACATCGATGAGTTGGGCGACGTTGCTTCCGGCGATGGAAATAGTGACCCGAAAGAAGACCCCAAGCTGGACGCGGTGAGCATAAAGGCAGATGAGGATGTAGAGGAAGGCATAGTTAAGCAGGAGACGGGCCAAAAGGAGGATGTGCTGACGGTGAATGCCAAGCCGACGGAGGAGCGGACGGTCGAGGAGATGCCAGCGGCGACTTTAGATAGAATCCAGCGATTGTTCCTGCAGCGCTTTATTTGAAATTAATTACATTTAATCAATAAAAAATTACACAACTCAGCTAGAGAATATTGATATGTATGAAGATGACGAGTAGAAACTGTAAATATGTTAAAGGTAAATTGGCTGGAGGGATTCGTACGAAAAGCAGGGACTTAAAATTGTAAGCAAAGCAAAGTAAAGTTCAAAATTTTTGTAAATTGCTGTTAGAGAGAAAACCTTTGGGAATAGAACATGATATTAGTCATCTCGTTTTCAATAAAAATAGGTATTCCACGGAACGTTGCATACTTTTTGGAGAGCATCATTGAAATTCCTACATTTTTGGTGAAACATAAAGCCATAAATCACTTTAAATAGCAATACGTATATGTAACTAATTTTAAAAATTTCATTGTAAAATGCTTTACGAGTATGTATGTATATTTTAATTAAAATTTAAGACTAGTTTTAATAAAGCTAAAATTATTTGTAAGTAGAACGATGCAGTTTTAGGTAATGAAATGTATGTATTGACAAATACAACGAAAATGTAACAAGAAAAGCTGGGCTCCTGAAATGCAATAACTCAAATTACATGTATAGACATGCATACATACTGATATTTATCATTCGAAAAAAAAGACAAATAGAATAAATGGTAATTAAAATAAATTATTTGCAATAATTTAAATTTAGTAAATATTTACAACATACTCACACACACACACTAAAATTTCATTACAACGCAAAATTTGGAGAAAAGAAACGCCATCAACACTTGGGTGATTCCTTTAAACTTGAAATGTTTTCTAGGAAATTCGAAAATCGCAAAAAATTTTTTTTTCAAAAGGATTTCGAGAGTTCGTTCAAAGTTTGAATACCTTCCATCTTTTCAAGGCTTTTTTCCAGTTTAAGGAAAAATCCATAATATCTACTTATGTGTTTTTTAATAAAAATTTAATATCGAATTGATTTATTTTACTTGGTAACTAATATTATTGCCTTGGCCTAAATGAAAACCAATTCAAAGTGGTATTAGTTCCTGCAGTTAAGTTTAAAAAATTTTATTTAATAAAAAAAACTTTATTCTAATAAAATAAAATCAAATAGTTTTATTTTCGCTTTTAAAAATATTTAGTTCGGATAACGAAAATTCGTTTTACTGAAAACGAAACTAAGAATTGTAAATTGTATGCAAAACTCAATGCTTTAAAAATTAATTTTTTTTATCTGCAAATTTGCGAACCCAATATTTCGTATTTAAAGGAAAAAAATATTTTTTATTCAAGATTTTTATATACAAAAAAATTGTTTTAGTAGTAAAGAAAAATAAAATTAACTGATTCTTAAATGCTATCGAATTTTTTCATTAATCATTATGCACTGTTCTCACTTAAACACAAATGGCGAAAAAACAGATGTTGTGTCCAGTGTGCCACAAGTTTACATAAATGTGTCGCAACCAGGTTTTAAGCACTAAAAAAAAATGTTGTTAGTGTAAAGGTTAATATAACGTAATTATAAAGTAAAGTAAAGAATAGCAATATCAGCTGATAAAAATTGTAATGCAAGAAATATTCTATACATATCTGGTATTATTCATTGATTTTCAGATGCTTACGAACAAACATTTGTAAATTAGTGAATTTAATTTAATTTTATAAAAAAACGAAAAATATGTAGAAATCGTAGTCTTTTTCTAATTTGAAAGCTTTTATTTTAGACTGAAAACTGAATATTAATTTTATTATGTTTTTAAAATAGTTTAAAATAAACGCCCATTAATTAGATTTAATATATTCAAATTAACAATTATTTCGAATGAAAACTGGTAACTTTAAAAAGTAATTAAAAAACTTTAGGAAGAAATTGTTTGCAAGAAAAAGTTCAACCGAAAAAAAACCGATAAAAATTCATCCTTTTGAAGCTTAAAAAAATCACTATTTGAATTAATTCACTTAAAGATTAATTGTGTATTTGTTACTCTTTAATTATTTTGGGTTAGTTATACATACTGTAGCAATTTATATAATACATATACAAATTTAGCTTTGAATGTAGAATTCAACAAAACTTTGTATTCATATTTAAGTTATAAAAGATAAGACAAACAAATATTTAATAAATATATTTACACACACACATACATATAGAAGTACATAAAATGTGTGCGAAAATGTGAAGAATATCTAAATATTTTTAAGTTTAATATAAATAAATGTACGAAATTTAATAAAAATATATATATTTACTTTAATTCAATCAATGCGGCATCGACAGAAAAGTTTAGGCCTCCATTCTCTTGCAACCTATTTAAAAAAGAGCGGGCTGAGGGAAAGCAAATTGCATGTTAATTCCAAAATTTCCGTTTAATGCTAAAATTGTACATACATTCTAGGCTAGACCGGAAAAGTTCTGAAGAAGAACCAAACCACAAAGCTGGATTCACTCAAGGGGCCTGATGGCTCTTAAACGGAGACTAGGATTGAAATTCTCCTTGTTCTTCTAAAGATCTACTTACCTGGAAATCAGGTGAAGGTTACGCCTTCCTCTCCCTCGACTGGAGAGGTAGCAAACACGAGAACCTCTGTAATAAAGTACAACTGGTTTGTTGCCATATTGAGTCTTTTGACAGTTTTAAATCGCCCGGTCCGGATGGCATCCTACCTATTCTACTTCAAAGAATTATTTCCGTGTGCTATACAGGAGCTTTCTCTACAACATCTGCCGCTGCTCTTGACGCACTGCTGCAGTTACCGTACTTTGTGTCCTCATACGTGGGGAAGACTTAAAGGCCACCTGCAGACAAAAAAGCAACGGATGTTCGTATAAAACAGAGAGGCGAAGCGGAAATTTCCGGCGGCAGAGATCTGAGTACTTGTGTCTTTTCAATGCCACAGGATAGTGCGCCACCATTACCTTTGTTGAAGAATGTTGAATACCCTGAGGCTGAATGTCGGTTTAATACCAGCACTGAGCCCGGACTCACACATCGAATCTTCACGGTTGGCTTAAAAACTGACTCTGGGTCAGGATCTGAGGTCTTTATCGCATAAACTTCACTTTTCTTTTCGGGAGTATACATCGTTCTTTCAGGCTGAGGTATTTACGTGGTGGAAAACAGGTAGACTGGAAGGAGTTTAAGAGTCTGCCGTGACACCTAAGCTAAATTATGTTGGTAAACATAATGAGTTTGCTTTACTCTTCGTGTCAGGTCACTCGGGAGCACCTGGTAATGAGACATTTGACCATTTGACCAGAATTGGCTCGGACCAGGCATTCTTCGGTTCGCTGCCCTATAATTTGGAGGAAAAGCTGCGCAGATATGTATGTATATCAGACGGACGAAACTGCAGAATCTTTGAAGATTCAAGGAGGCCAAGCTGTTAAGGTAAGATTTCAAATTATTAGGATGAAATGCCAAAAAATTACTCTCGAGCAACCTTACCTTACTGCGGGCGCAAATGTTCCATTCCGATAAGCCTGTCTCCAATGAGAAGGAATGTAAGTCTAGGTTTGAGACTACATTTTGTATGGTAAATCGGCGGTGGCAGAAATCGGATTCAAGTATGTACTCCTACCCTTTTACTGTCATCGAGTCTAACAAAACTTTGAGGAGCAAGCGGCCATAAACCCGAAGCTGGCATCCATGACATGAAATTTCACGGTGCACATTAGAGCGATACGATACGCGATACGATAGGTGATGCCGTGCCTAATGCATGGTGAAATTATACTAGGTGTAGTAATAAGAGCGAGAAGAAAGATGTGACACTATCTTATTTGAAAAATTGCTTGAAAAGGTTCTATAAGATAGCCAAATGTCAAGAAAATTGAGAAAATAAAGCGAGAAAGGTGTTTTATTACTTCACCTTTATGTTAAATACATTTTGCATACGACTAATGGAAAAAACTACACATTTGATTTCAAAATTAGAATAGCCCGTGTGTATTTCCTTAAAAGTCTGAGCAAAAGAAAATAAAAAATTTGTTTCTACTTGGCCGAGTATAAATTTATTTTTAAGACTAAAGAATTGGCCCTTGTAAAACGCTTTTACAAATCTATATTCCAAAACTAAGCTTCACTCAATATTCACTCAATAAATAGATCAGCCGCTTGAAATTGGTTTATAGAAAATATGTTCTTCAAGCCATAACCCTCGAAATAAATGAACTTGAAATGCGTGCGATAACTCTGCAAATCACTTCTTTTTTTTTTAAAGCGCCCAGCTTTTCATTCACTAACGCATTTTGCCATCATTTTCGCGTACTCCTACATACATACCTATGAACATATTTGCAGACATAAATATGTATGTATGCATGTTTTTGCCTTAATATGTTGTAAGCAAGTGAATTGCACGTCGCGCAAAAAAAAAAACAATAGCCCCTGCAGCAAACAAACAAGCCAATGGCCACTACGATTGAGTATTTAGGTATATTTGGTGCTCATCGTTGGTCTCTTCACCTCCAATTAAGTGCCATCACTGCAAGTGGTTTTCAGCCACTAGACATGCGAAAGCAAGGCAACCAACCCCAACACCAACAGCCACAATGGCAATCACTCTCGACGAGCGACCAACAAACCAACATTCATTTAACTGCTGGTGTGTAATTGTGGATTCACTTCAAAAGCAACCGAGTGGCCGGCCGCACTTAAGTTCTGAACACATTGAAAACGACGAGCTACCGACCACAGCTTCCAATTTGTCATCTTTATTATCTAAGCGCTTTGTCGATGGCGACATGATTTCTTTGAACGCGGCAGCGACATCAAGAATTTGTATGAGTTTGACATAAAAGAAGAGGAAGAACCTTATCTGCCGCCAGAAAAATAGAAATAGATCTAATCTGGCCACAACCACAGCCGTCGCGTAGCCCGGTCGTCGCCAAAATAATTATCTACATTAGAGTACGTGTTAAAATAATTTGACAGCTGTGGTTTGTAGCTCGTGGTTTTCATTGCTCTCGGGCTATTACAATTACTTGTATAATACATATGTACGGGTACATACGAGTACATATTATTACCGCGACCTTACGTAATACAAATTTGGTTAAACTTGGTGCTGTCCGTGCCGTCCGCGCTGTCCATTGAAGATGGTGTTGGCAAATTGGTGGCGAATTCGGCATGCGATTGCAGTTAAGAGCTTTGGTTTGTGAATGCTTTGATTTTACTGAAAAACGGGAAAATTAATTACGGGAAGTTCAATAACGTTAATCTTCTGAACTACCGGACAGTGATGGCTGAGTGGATTTCACTGGTGATATTTGCGAAAGTAAACAGAGGCACGCCTCGGGGAGCTATCCTATCCCCGTTTGCTTTGGATGATTGTCATCAACAAGATTATACTTAAGATGAGAGGGCTCCTATATTAACTAATTTATGCTTAGATGACTAATTTGGAATAGTCGTGGGCATATTTAGTAAAATATATTCACAACTGGGCTAGAGAGGTGGCTAAGAAGGCCTCCAATTCTGGCCTATGCCCTTAACGTCAGCACTGGCTCTTCATAGACCAATAATGCTCTATCATGCCTTGGTGGTACATCGGTAGGTTGGAAGGTGTACAAAGGCTTGTGGAACTATGTGTAACCGGGGCCCACCACTCCCATAGCAGCAGTAGAGAAAATTCTAAACCTGTATCAATCTGATAGACTTATGCCGATTTTGTTGCCCTCTACGTACAAGCACTAAAAAGAGGGCGATGAGAAGGCAAAATTTTTTGTTGAAACGAAATCGGCATGGATTTTATCTATAAGCTTAAATCGACAGCGACTGGAACTCCTCCCAAGGGAAGGTAACTCTAAAGTACACTAGAATATCTCCCATGATCCTGTTCAGCTTTCTGGAGATCGTCAATCAGCTCCTTTGGCTCTGCTTTCTTCTCCTCAGCGAAGGAAATTGCATAAGAGCTACGGTTTGAGGGTGGGCCTTCACCGTCTTGATAGCACTAAGCACCAGCTAATGGCCTTTGTAAGATCCCACGGATCAACAAAGCTTACCAACATCAAGTGTCTAAAAATCAACAAAGAAGAAATAGAGTTCCATGATAGTGCTTTCCAATCGAAATTCGAAACCATTTTAAAATTTTAATATTTACTACGAATTTAAAGTCACAACGCGTTTGTATAAGCTTCTCCACTTTCATCAACAATTGTAATAAATAAACAGCGTGTAATGGTTACTAGGTTTTTTTTTATTGTTAACTTACCTGCTGGAAATAGTAAAACGATGAGTATTCGCAACATGTCGCATTCAATTGAAATACAAAAAGATTCCCTGCAATGGCGTTATCTTCAACGAAAGCGAAAAGACTTTTAAGTGACTGGACAACACACACACACACACATTCAAAATCGTTTTGAGTGGATGCCACTAGCAAATGGTGAAGCATGCGGCCGTTGGGCGCCGAGTTTATAAAAAACGCCAAGCGCATGCGCAACGCGAAACATTCACGTATCGAACGCGCGCAAGGTAAGATCGTCTAGCGGTGGTACGAGTGATTACATAATTACAATTGTACAAGAAAAGCAATAAGTGTAATGAAAAATATACATACATATGTTGGAATATTAAAAACAACTGAAAGTGCTACACTCTAAAAAGTGCATGTAAAACTACTACTGAAAAGTGTTTATTTTTCAACTAGAATCTGTTCAAGTATACGCACAAGATGTTCAAGATTTGATTTTGAACATGAGTTGTTTAAAATTTGCACATAAATATACACATGTAATGTTTAAAATTGCAAACATTTTGAAAGTAAAAATAAATTTTTTACAAATAATAAATACTAAGTGCCAGGGGCGCACGCAGGAATATATTTTTGGGGGGAAAGGACTTATACTTCTAAATATATATCATCAGAAAATATTGAAAATTCGCTCTTTAAAATACATTTATGCAAGTTTTATGTACAGTATGAAATAAATAAATAAACTTTTTAAAGTTTCATAAATTGCATTTTATTTACATAAAATTTCCAAAGAACTCAGACATTTTCAACCGGCTTCAAAAAAGGGAAGGTTATCAATTCTTCGTAGTATTTTTATTCCACCGCACAACTTTGGACCGCGTGAAACGATTCCAATTCTTCTTTTTTTACCGAATAGATGGTACCTTAAGGGTCGTCCCATAATTTGGTTTAGACCCGATCATTAAATCATAAAAAAATGAACGGTACTCCTAAATTTTTATACGAGAATTGAAGTCTCAAGAAAAAAGAAAAATTCTTACAAAATGACGCACAAGAAATGGAAAAGAAATTTTTTTCTATCAAAATTTCTTAAATCATAATAAATTTAACCCCAAAACCCACCCCTTGTGTGCGCACAAATTTGATATGTAAAAATAAACAGACAGTGTTTAATTTTGCACACACTAGGTGAGGAAACTGGTTACCTCTCTTTATATGCGTAAATTTAAACGAAAATTTTTTAGAGGAAATTTTATACATTTTATGTGTAAACTATGAAGATGTGAACAGTAAATGTTTAAAACTCAAAAAGCAAATTTGAAATTTGTTCTACGCCACACGTATGATAAGTAAAAGTAAGCAAGCAGTGTGTAAATTTGCATTCATTAAGAGGTGAAACTGGTTACCTATCTTAATATGCGCAAATTTAAACAAAAATTTTTTAGAGTGTAGTTTAAGGGACAATTAAATTTCTGCAGTAAAAGTAAAAAAAGCGGAAGTTTTAAGAGTTTATTGTTTGCAAAAAAAATGTTTTTAATAATACGCGAGAATTTGTTTGGAACAAAAAAGAAAAATATATTTAATCCAAAAACCGTTATTCTAAATTTCTAATTGAAATTGCTCTGCTCGTTAGAGTTCATCCCTGCTAGTCTTCGTTACTCGTCAAGTGTTGGCGTATCAAAGGCGGCTAACAGGCTAACCTAATATTCGCGGCTTGCGTTTTGGTACGCATGCCGTCGAATTTGTTTTTTTGCGTCACCCGAAATTGACTTGCATGCGTTTGCATTTGATTTCATTGAGCGAAACGTCAAATCAAAATGTCACGCAGAACAAAAATTGGAAATTGAGTTAGCTTCATACGCACGCCGTTCAATTTCGGTTGATCTCATACAAGCTGCATGTGCATGAGAAATTTTTGACAATAAAGTGGCGGCGTGCGTGAATATTAGGTTAGCCTGTAATATTTCAAAAAACTTGTTAACATTTGAAAATTTTCCCCTTCCTCCTCCATTACAGTTCCTGGAATTCAGCAGCTACAAAAAAACTAACAAAATGAAAACCCTGTTTGTGTTTTGCACCCTCTTGGCGCTCGCCTTGGCCTACCCGCAGCGTGAGGGCGCCGCCTACACCAACGAAGCCATCCGCCAGGCACAACAGACCTTCCTCATACCCAAAGACGCACAAATTCAAAATGTACAGGAAGGCATTGAGCTGGGCGCCTACGAAGCGATTCCCGGCAATCAAAGGATAAACCTATTCGAAATTCTTGGCGATCAAGTGCCATCGGAAGTGATAAACAATCTGCAAGCGCAAGTCGATCAGATCGGTCGGAATAAGTGAGCTATGAACGCGCGTTCGCGAGGATGTTAACTAAATTGTAATTAAATTAATTTTTTTATTTTTGTCGTTATTGAGAAAATTGCATTTATAATAATTTTCTGTTGAATTAGTTTTTACTGAAGTGTGAAGAAATACAGATTTTGAAAAAAAACCAATATAATTAAAGGATATTGTTTAAATTGTTGGTCAATAGCAGCTGATCAGTTATGCAAGACGCAGCAAAGGCGACTTTAACTAATAAAGAAAGTGAAAGTCAATTCAGGTACAGTATATTTTGCTTAGCTGCCCATCCTTCTTTGCACGAAAAACTTGTGCGCTTAACCGAAAAAAGCACTTAAGCGAATTTTCTTTACTACTTCAATGAGGAAGGTATCCGAATCCCTATGAAACCAAATAATGGAGGAGCACTTACCACGTACTGCAAGAGAATTTTTTTCCGAATAGTATCTATATATCTATATAACTACATAAAATAATTGCCATTTTCGTTGTTGTGCGAGATGATAAAAATAAATAATAGCTTGTAAAATTAGGGTAAGCGTAGAGCCAGTGCAGGTAAACGTAATACTTTCTTTGATAATTGATAATAGTTGCAAATTTTTAAGGCAGGTATCAGTAATGTGCAGGTATGTTGAATGCAAGTATCGGAGCAGTTTCCTTATAAATGTTAACAAGTAAGAAAGTCTAAGTTCGGGCGGAGCCGAACATTAAATACCCGGCGCAATTATTAAATATATGTTTTCCACCTTTCCGAAAGCTACCGCTACACGATAAGCCGGGGTGTATAAATTTTAAGTAAATTAGCGTCCTTAAATTTCGAAATATTGCAGTTTCAAGCATTTCTGAAATATACCGTTATATGAAAAGCGGTCGTAATTTTAGTCCGATTTCAATAATTTTCAACGCTTTGCTTTTATGTGCCAAGCACAATAACCATACCGAGTTTGGTTCAAATTGCTAGAACGGCTAGCGAGATACATATATGTGATCATAAGTGGGCGGTGCCACGCCCATTTTCCAAAATTGTATCATAAGCGTATTTCTTGGTAAAAAATTGTTGCAACCATCAATTTTGAATAAATTAGCTTTAATATTTACTGATTTATCGAGGATTTCGTATTTTTCTAAATTACCGTTATATGGGATGTGGGCGTGGTTATTGTCCGCTTTTAAAAATTTTCGGCCATTTGGTATGTTGTAGCAGGACCAACAACTGTGCCAAGTTTGGAAGAAATTGGTGCAGCGGTTACCAAGATATACACATGTAACCATAAGTAGGCGTGGCTACGCCCATTTGCCAAAATTTTTTAATATTCTTATTTTTCGTCTAAAACTCATTGTAAATATCAATTTCGAGTGAATTATCTTCAGTAGTTACTAAAATATCGCACTTTTCGTATTTCTGAAAATTACCGTTATATGGGAGGTAGGCGTGGTTATTGTCCGATTTCGCCCATTTTCAATACCATCCGTCCTATGCCCAAAAGAAGTCCACGTACCAAGTTTCGTTACGATATCTCAATTTTTACTCGAGTTATCGTGTGCCCAGACGGACAGACGGACGGACGGACGGACAGACAGTCACCGCTTAATCGATTTCTCTTTTCATTCTGATCATTTATGTATACATTTGTCTATATCTATCTCGATTCGTTTTGCCTGATACAAACAACCGTTATGTGAACAAAGTTATAATACCCTTGTGCACAAGTGCGCTCGGGTATAAAAATAATGCCGCTGATGCGCATTTTGGGGTAGGTATCTTAAATGTGCACTTAAACACAAAGGCAGCAAAGCAAAATATACTGTAGTTGGCAATTGTTGATTGAAGCCTGGAAGGCCCAGCAGCATGTTGCCTAACAAGTTCGTTAGCTATGTTTTGTTCGTTTCCTACTTTGACCACAACATATGCAATTTGATGGTATCACATCGCCGCCAAATTCGATACACCAATTGTTTGGCTAACGAAAACACAGTTATTATATTTTTCAGTTGTAAGTTTTTAATTCATTTTTTTTTTCTAATTTGTTACTTGTTTGCCGCTTTCACTGTTTGCTCGTTTGATCGTCGAGCCGGCTTTGGTTGCCTTAAGCGCAATTCAGTGTTCAATAACTACGTAACCCAACGGGAAGTACAAACAGGTGGAGAAGACAGCGCTTGTACGCTCATTGCATGCTAAATAGTCACGTTAAGCGAAATCTTCATGATATGTACAAATGTTATGTATACATGTACATTAGGGTGGCCCTTAAAAAATCAAATTAACGATTTTTTTCAGTCTCACCCACACCACGGCCACAGATATAACAAATAAATTTTGGTCCCGATTGGAGACGTTTAAGGCGTATCGCACAGCAGGCAAAGTACAGAGTCACCTATGGAGACTCAACAAATTAAAATAATTTTTTTCTTTTTTTGTATCTAATAACCAAAATCGATACTACCATAGTCAAAGATATCGCATATAAATTTTGGTCCCGATTTACTCGGTTAAGGTGTGTGGCAAAGGGGTCAAAGGCCACATGGCTTAAAAAAAAAGTTTAAAATGTACTTTTTTCATTTAATAGTCATAAAAGTTCAGATTACGTCTTCATAGGGTAATGTGAACTTTGCCCCTGTGCGACACGCCATAACCGACTTCAATCGGGACCAACATTTATATGTGATTTCTTCGACTATAGTAGCATCGACGTAGGGGTTGAGGGTTAGGAAATCTGTTGTTAAAATTTGCTTCCTACATTTAGGATCGCCCTAATGTGCAATTTAGTAAAAAAAAATAGTTAAAATAAAAATGTGTAAAAATGTTATTCCCTATATAGTATATGTAAATATATCGCTCTTCAATAGTGTTATAACTCAAAAAAGCGAAACTCAAGAAAAACGGCTTCAAAGTTTTGAATTTGCATATTCCCCCATAGTAAGAATGAATAAGTGAAATGCATGACTATTTTTTCTCTACTTTCAATACATATACATATGTATGTATATTTTTACAAGATGTCTATTTAAAATGCGTTAAGTAAATATATACTTGTTTTAAGCATTCGTTGTTTCAGTGAAAGCGTTTAAAATTTTTTGTTGGTACGTTTTTATTTGATTTGGTACATTTTTTTACGTTTGGGACAATTTCGAAAAATTCATTTATCATCCCTGAAATCGTCCATCGACCAATTGAAAAACCGCCTATCTTTCGACTCTCAAATTTAACAGGAGAGCGAAAAAAGGGGTTTCTTTGAAGGCATTGCCTTGATAGGCGGTCTTTTCTCTAGCTTTTTTTTACAAATCTGTTGTTTTAATAAGGATTTACCAAATCTCATTTTTGCCACAACTGCGTTTTAAGCGGTTTTGAAACTGGTCGATAGGCGTATGATCATAGATCAGATAGGCTGACTTCCAAAACGTCAATTGCTTTGCATACGTACAAAGTTTAATGTTCCATAACGCCCAAATACTAAATATTGACAATGTATACTTTTCCAAAACGCATCCGAAAAGTTATCGGAACGCATCGCTAGAGCAATCAGCGCATCAGAAACGAAGTTGATGCTTCGTTTGTTATTGGTTATTATTGGTGTTTTAAAAATGGAACATTCAGAAAAATTGTTCATTGCTATATCGACTATTTGAAATATGTAATGTATATGGTTGCAATGTGTCGCAACTCTGCATATACAAACAGTTTGAATATCGCAGTATAACAGTTTCCAGACATTGTATTGACACGTTTTGGAAGTCAGCCATATTTAGATCTGACTTCGTGGCTTTTTTTCTGGCCTTTTTTACATACAATATTCATAATAAAATTCGGACCGGAGGTATGAACATAAGTACCTACCTAAACTTACTAAAGAGCTTTAATATTTGTAAACCGTTGAAATATTACAATAGCAGTGCAAATGTCCATTTCTTTGAGAAAATACTTACTTAGCTTTTAAAAAATCATACTAAGAAATTCGATTTGTCCGCGTACTAATTTGTATACCCTCATCTAGAAAATATTCAAAATTTTGCATTTTTCTTATATTAAACTAAACTTTTGTGTGCATATAATTTAAAAATTTATTTACAGAGAATCGCTTTACCGGAACTAATCGAGTTTTTAAAGTATGCATATACTGACGTCTTTTTAACTTAAATTTTCAAAGCGTATAACTTTTCTAACCTTTTTTAAAAACGAGCAAAACGAAATATAAGCTTTTGGAAATATTGAAAATTCCACCTTTACGCTCCCCCTAGAACCGACCCTTTTAACTTGCACCAAAAAAATTTACACCTTTCAAATCAGTAGAAGAGCCCACCTTAGATTTTTGTTTTATCTCAACGGCCGCTATACCGCACTTATGCCTCAAAACGAGTCTACGATACGAATGAGTGTAATATACAAAGAGTCAAATGAGTTAATTAAATGAACTGACTCCCTAAAGTGAGTTTGAGTCATTGAGTCAACTCCTATAAATTTGCTGAGTTACCCTCCCTTATAATAGAGAGCGAATACTCTCCACTTTTGTATCGTAAATGTCTTCTTCTTCGTGCCCGAAACAACCCGGACCTCTTTTCCGGGCAGAAATGTTGAAGAAGTGAATTTAAAATAACAGCTGTTGTTTGTTTACATCCGATAGCAAATTTTGTAAACTACAAAAATGGGAAATAGCACTAAAGGTTCAGAAACGTAGGTATTTGCTAATTTTATTAGCTATATATAAGATAAATACACATAAAATCATTGTTTAGAACTGATTTATTGATTCCGGGCACGAAAATTGGTTTTCTGCGTTCCCCACGCTTTGCGCACTTTTGGCACGGGTTGACACATTTTTGGAACTTGTGAGAGAGTAAGTTATTTTTAACTCTAATTACCGAAACAGTTCAGAAAGCGTGTGTAACAAATCTAAAGACCAAAATACAATAGCGCAGTGGCAGTGGCAGTGACAGTTTTTAAAATCAGCTGTTACTGCTAATATTGGCAGTCACTGCCGCAGCAAATACAATACGGCGTTGTCAGTGACAGCTTTTTTTTGACATTCCCTTTTGTTTGTTTACATTTTGGTTGTTTTTTAGGCTTCAGTGACATGAAGCGAAGTTGGCTGCATTTTATTTGTGTCAAATTCAGCATGCGTAGTTTGCTGCGATGAAGGCAGTGGCAGTGAATTTAGA